TTTTTTTAGCTTTCACATGCCGTTTCATTCCGTGAAGGCATCACTGAGTAGTTTATCAGCTTGTCAACAGAGTATTTTCTAGGAAAATTGTTTAGTTTTTAGAAAGTAGATTCTAGAAACTGCAAGTAAAGCACGTACACGCATAGTGGCAACGAGAAGCAACGGGAGCGTATAGCTATTAGAGACTCTAGAAGTAATTGTTTGTTTATTGTATTTCATTGTGATATATCTGCAGAAATTAACTTCAGAAGTTTGCCCGTAAATGCTTTTCGAAGCTGTTTGAAAAGAGTACTGAATCATATTGGGTAAAGCTGAAGTTTCTATGAGTTTCAAGTTTTTTCCTCGCAATTTTTATTGCAGACTAAGCTTAAATGTACAGAAAACATTTTAATAACCATTCCTGCGAAGAATGGACAAGCAAAGAAAACCCAAACCTCTAAACTGTCACGGTCAAGACACAAAAAAAAAAAGAAAAATGTGTATCTCTTATCTTTTGAAATAAGTCATTTGAAACGGGAAACGGTTCTGTTTAGGAGGAAGAAATTTGGAGAAAGCACTGTTGCGTTCTTGATGGAAAACTTTTTTCACCGTTTTACTAATGGCCAGTCTGCCCTTCCTGAATTTCCTCTATTTTTATCTTAGTTAGCAGCTCTGAAGTTAATGGCTAAACAAGGAGGTCTCTTGAGCAGAGTTCAGTTCCGGCCAGTTTTCACTGAGGTTTAAAAGGAACGCTTAAGTATCTAGTTAGATTTTAGAAAATGCGCACTTATAAAAATTTTTCAGTAAAACAGAGAAGTTTTCTAATCAGTTTCTTTGTAGGGTTTTGGCGCAACTGGAACAATACAGTCTTTTGATCTTACTTTCCAAAGTATTCACGATGACTTAAAACTTGACATTTCCGACTGAAATAAAAACCAACATGATCAATATTATTTTGTCAAAGTAGAAAAAACGGATTTTATTCAGGAGCAGAGTGACTTGCAACTCTAGATCCACAGGATCATTATAACCTGGTTCTAAGTGCTAACCAATTTTGGTAAATTTGCTTGTGGGAATGAAAAACTAAAAGCTTGGACGTTGAAGTTCGGTTTTGTGAAGCGGCAGTTGAGGAAGAAGCCTGAACTTTAAGTCTCGGATTTTATTGAAAGTTATCTCGTATAGAAATTTTTTTTGTGGATCAATTTACTGGCAAATCAGAACGTTTCAAGTAATGTTTTTTTTCGATTGAGTAGAAAATTTCAACGTTTGGTACAGATTTTCGCTTCCCTCTAACCACTCAGCCAACCTCTGATCGTTAGCAAAACCAGCTCGCTATCCGTCTACGATTACTGTTCAGTTACAGAAAGATTTGTGTATTTTGGAAGGACAAAAAATATGAATCTTCCACAGCTAATCTTTTGATTTGGGACTTAAAACACGATTTACTAAATCACTTCAGAAACAGTACAAAATAGGCCGCTATAAACGATCTACCTGAATCTAAATCCCAGGGCACCTCAAGTTTTAAATTTGTTGCTTTCAAAGAGATGAGTTTTTCAAGGTACCATTATTCGAAGGTAAGAAATTTTTTATCTGTGAAGCAGCTTCCAAATTCTCATTTTCACTGACAGATCTTTCCAATTAACACCTTATTGAGCATAACTTCCACAAAGCAGTTTTTTTAAGACTTAAAAATTACGTTTCTTTAACGCATGTGACTGATGTTAGAAATTTGATTTCCGATCTCCACCAATGCCTGGTCAAGAGATCTAGAACAACGGTCTCAGACGCCATTAAACTACCCAGCTGTTTTTGTTTGAGTAGTTTTTTAAAAAAATGAAAGTAACTTTATTGCATCTTCCTACAACACGATTTTTGCTCTCAAATAATGAGATGTTTCACAAGTAGAGACCTAATGACAACTAAAGTGTTAGACTATTGAATAGTTTTAGTAAAAACGAACTTCTTGTCAGCTGGACTAATTAGCCAACTATAATCATTAAATTTCTAAAGAAAATGAAGAGGCACTAAATGGACCAAATGGAACGTTCATAACTATCACAAATTTTCAAAAAGACAGTAAAAGTAAAAAATTTCATCTACAAATATTCTGTTAGAAAGCAATCTTAATTACCTTATTAAAGTAACAAAAAACAACGTCTACCCTCTCCACTAGCACGCAGATATCGCTAAAATGCGAAGAAAAAGTCCACTATGCCATTTTAACTAGTCATAACTCTCCTGGCCCTAATCCTCCTCCAAACTAATATACAACAATTAGAGGAACAAAAGAACCAGTACCAACAACAAAAAAAAAACATTTTTAAATATTATGACTATGGCCTTAAATTTCCTGAAGCCCACAAATTCCTGTCTTCAAATAAGAGACGAAATAAAAATTTGAGGTATTTTATTAAAATTTAACTCAGTCCCATTGCGTTCAGAGACCAAAATGTTTAGTTTGTTAGTTTCTGATACCTAAATTAAAACCCGTTCCCGAACTGAAAATTCCTCTTCGAAAAAAAGTACAAGTGTAAAAACACTTAAGCACAACAATGCAAAAATAACCAAGTACTCGAGAAATATTTTAATATTATCAAAACACATGTTTCTGTACAGAATCTGGGATTTCTCCTTTGTGGTCCTTGAGCTGTGGCCGAGCCTCGTAAGCCGTAATAGCAACCTTAAAATTGAACTTCTAAATCTGTTTACAGCTTGAAAAATGCTATTAACGCTGATATAATATTTTTTATGACTTTTAGTAATATAGCAGAAACGAGTAACCTTCTGACGTGCATCTGACAAGTACTCTCCCCGTAAACCAATGTAATATATCCGAGTGTGGTCGCTTCCAAAGTTTGCCGGAAAGAAAATGGTCAAATGAGTGAGACTAGGGAATACAGCTGCCTTCAAAGCATAATCTACTCGTCCATCAGGATCTTGTTTCAAAGAAAATTCTTGATCTGCTTTCATTTTAACATCGTCGAACGACATCTAAAAATACACTGATCTAAAAAATTGTTCAAAAGTCACACCGCAAATTAGTTGAGATGAGTAGTTCCAAATAAATAAATCATATTCAACCTTTCATTTTCAATAAAATGAAAAATGTTAGACTCAAGAACTTACCGAAGGTCGGTCTTTAAAAAGCTTCATACAGGACGGGTGAGAGTCGTCAAGACCACCAACCACTACTATACCAGTAATTTTTACTCGACCAGTAAATGGTATATTAAACAACAGTTCTTCGTCAACATCACTTTCAACGAAATCTGTTCTGTAAATGAAGTGATGTGCGGTGTAGAAATGTTTAAGAAAGCATTTCAAAAAAGAATCACTGTTTGTAAAAACAACCGACAATGCCCTTCATTTTTCACGCGTTGAATCAGGATAATGCCTAAATGCCAAAAACCAACAAAAACATTGAGTCCAGTAAAGTACCTGTCTATTCTCTTCTCCCATTCTTTAAAAACTTTCACACCAGAACCATCAATAGCCTCATTTAGGACGGTGACCTTAAAATGAAAGCAGGATACTCTTTGATTATCACGACTATTACTATGCGAGTGGTAATAATACGGCCATAAAATAAGAAAAATTTTAAAAAATACAGACAAACAGAAGTAAATCAGTAAATCACTAAAATGTTTTTCAGACGTCAGCAATATTACTATGCGCTTTCAAGTAAAAAATGCCACATACTTTGGGAAGATCTATATGAGAGTTCATGGTGTAGCGGATCCCATCTTTGAAAGTAACTATATCAGACTGTTCGGCTGAACAACCTTGACCATCCCCGTGTCTATGCGACATTATGCAATGCAATCTTTTTTTGCAGAAAAGAAAGCAAGGTGAGGTCAGGAAAATCCAACGAAAAAGTTACCTGAAAAAGCGCCAGCACGAAGCATTTAGAAAGTTTCAAAAATATTAAGCTATCAAAAGTGTGGCAACTGCTTGCCAAGAACCCGATTCGAAAAAACCATCTGGTTTTTGTTTCAGTATTTCCAATCTTGGAAGGGATATAAGGTTTCACTCTAACCTTATGCAATTCATATTGTAGTTATTAAGCGTGTAAAAAGTTGCTTGAGGAACTACTCGATAATTAGTTTAAAACTCTGAATCAAATTACTTAATAAGATACAAAAAATTAGCCTCAAAACTTCCACACTGCAGCTTCTATCTTTTCAAAATACTCAGTTCTGCAGCTGTTTGTTTCGAAACAAAGTGTCTCAAACATTCTTCGTCAACATCACCCTCAACAAGAAACGACTCGCCTCTGTGCACCTTAAGTTTCTTGCAACCGAAATTTTTCTACAGCTGACCAGATGCTCTGAACGCAGAGTGATTCTAACGGCCATCAGAGCAACTTCTCATCCATCTTTTGCTCACCAGCTACTTCTTAATGAGGACGGATGAATCACTAGATCTGATCAGATGGTGTCTCGCAATTTCTCAGTTTTCGGTGTCCACAAAACTGACGCGCCATGACTTCTTTCGTAGAAGTAACCTTTTTCCCTTTGGGTCGACGACGGCTGTTTCGCACAAAAAAAAAACACCCCCCATCAAACGATCCACCGTTATGGAGATGCCGTTGCGGTTATTTCTTAAAATAACCAGCCCTCCTGAACAAAGTGAGCAATTCACCATGATGCCCCGTAGCATCGGTTTTACGGAAAGTTAACGTTCATTACTGGTTAAATGTAAGTAATGTATAAGAATATGAAAGCAGAAGAGGATAGACTGCTATGACAGATGTTGTTTCATCGCTGATACCTGTGTTTCTAATTCTTATGACAAAAATAAACTAAAGAGATTTGAGAAGTTGAATAGGTACTACCTAACAACAAGAATATTTTGGTACCATGCAGCTTACTACTATCTTTAGAATTACGGCGATATCACGCTCTTCACAAGCTATGTCTTACACTTCTTCAAACTGTGGCATCGCTAGAATCCCATAAAATAGATCGTAGCAATCACCAAGTTGTTTAATCAGCTTCCTCCACGAAACTGGCTCTGTCTCGTCAAAACCATTTTAACACTTCAGAAAGTTGCTCGTAAAACTGCACTACATTAATGCCGCTTCCCCGAAAGAACTCTGTCTGCCTTGAAAAAGAAAAACTACACTACAATGCATCCTCATGTTTTAACTGGGCTTATAAGAGACGATGTTAATGTGCAACAGATGAGAACTTAAGAAAAGTGCATACTTCTAAATAAACACCATTTCCTTTTCAAGTCTGCTCACAACATCCATAATGCTTCCACCACTTCTACGTAGCAGCATAATCCATCTCCCGAGCAAACATAATGAAATCAACACTGTAAAGGAAAACCGAGAACGTTTGGGAACCTTAGGCTTTAATCCCATTTAAACTACTTGCAAAGAAACGATACAAAAATCTAGCGTAAAGAAAATTCAGTCTTCCGTTTTTTAAATTCATCTTCCAGACGAACAAATCAAGAGAAGAACAAACATGGCGTCTAGCCGAAATGTGATTTCTCATGAGGACGGACAAGATGGGCTAAACTACTTTTCAAAAAAAGACCGACTTTATTGGAAATTCCGTAAAGGCCTTCAATTAATTTCTTAATAAAACCAATTCTGCTCACATTTTAATTAAAAACACAATTATGCAAAATGTACAAGTGAAATTGCTTTGGAAGTTTCCAGAATCTATGTTTTAGGCAGAATAAAATCAAATTCTTTTATTGGTCAATACTTTTCCGCACACAGTACAAAACCTTGGCAAAATTCGTCCCGATTTCACGGGTTTTGGAAAACTTAACAGCCTGTACAAATAAGTATTCATCTTTACAAATACTAAAGCACCGAAAACGAAAAAACACGCAAACTTCACAAAAGTCTTCAAAATAGGCAAAAACTAAACCGTTTAAACAAGTCTTAAAGATATAAATATCCTTTAAGTGTTTCCACGATCATAATAATATAAGTAAATGCCTGTTAATGACAAATTCAAAAAAACTTTCCAGTTTCCACCAAACAATTTTCACACTCCAACACCTAAAATTAAAGCCCATATAATATCCTAGGAGTAAATATGTGATGAGGAATTAGTAGTATATTTCATCCTAAGTAATCTAGCAGAAATGATGGCGCGCTTGCAAAAATTTCCATCAAAAAAAAAAGGAAAAAGCTAAAATGAAAAACAGGTGCGAAAAAAAGGAAAGATGAAAGTGAGGAAAGACCGTTCCGTACAAACAATAATCTGCAAACAAACAACTTTCGAAAACGAATTAAGACAACAAGGCTGGACACAGCAATTGTTTGGTCATCAGTATATAAAACATTGAAGGTCAAAAATATAAGAAGCGTAAGTCTTGACACATAACTTCTACGTGATTATAAGTACAGAAATCACAACTTCTCCTTAATTAAAATTACGAACCGTAAAGGCGACCTGTAAGAAAGATAGACCAAATTTCAATAGAAATTTTCTGGATCCACACACTGCACCAAGTCAAAACAGTATTAAAAAACTTGGTGACTGATTATACTACTCCCTAAACTTGCATAAGGGCCAAACATAATTTTCAAGGCTAAAGTCTGCTTGAATTTTGTTGCAGTATTCAGCAAAATTTGGAATGATATTAAGAGCGCAAAAGTACCCGCAGGTAAATGAAGAAACAATGGTATGAAAGTTTGTAGGAACAACTGCATCTTCATGAACTTTAGGTAATAAAAGTAAATAAACGGCAAATCCCTACAAGTACCAACTTCTTCAAACTTTTCCAGTAGGTCACAGGTAACTAGTCATTCTTAAGAATTTTAAACTAGCTAAAAATAATGCTGTAGTAGCATTTTATGCTGACAAAAATGAAAGATGCAGTAAATTATGCAGCTCCTGTGCTAAAAAAAACTAAAGTAAAATCAGCACAACGCACATATGAAAGGTACAATCGAAAACATAAATAAAACATTAAGAAATAACAACAGTTGAACGATGTTCTTTTATCCATAGTTTTTCTACAGAAACACTGTGCTTGTTAGCAAGTCGCGAATCTGGTAGAAGTTTATCCTCACAAATTCGACTGAGTGCCTTCAATTTTAGCCAAGTTTAGATTTAACGTTTCCAAACAAAAATAAAAGGAATTCTAATGAGACGTTAAGCTTCAATAAAGCATTTCTAAAACGGTAGACTAAAAAACTTTGAGTACCTCAAGTTTCCTTGCCCTTTCCTTGTATAAAGGTTGCAAAGGCAACTGTAGATCATTGGCAATTGCTAGAGTCCTTAGTTCATAATAATACTTTGCGTAAACAGAACTAGGGACATTGATGTTGAATTCCAAACATTCCAAGAACTGCCGCTCCAGTTCGTTCCTATATAAGAGAAGCTTAATAATGTCCAAAGTGTAAAGTTACTGCCACAAACAAAACGAGGAAAAGAAAAACCGACATATCGTCCACGCTTGTATCTTTCAGTATTTGACAGTAATCTACGTTCCAGACCGCCTGGTCATCCCACACTTTTGAAGCTAACATTATAGCACCTAAAACAACTCGCCGCCAGTTTGATGGGCACAGATCCATTTCGGCATAGTTTAGCAGTCTTTCTATGTATACCTGCAAAGTGATAGTTGAATTTGAACCTACAGAAAGTGCAAAATTTAAAATGCAGATAAACAAAATCATGTGCAGAAAATAAGTCATAAACTTAAATCTTTAAACAATCATATCAAAAGTTTGAGAAAAATTGAAATTCAAGAGAGCAAAGAATGCCTGTAGAAATAGCGCAGTCGTTAAAAAATTTAAATGCAAGGATGAGCCTATCAAACCATTTTCTACTTCCCTCACGGTTTCTTCCAACACTTATACTACTTTAACCCTACTGTTTCGGTTTTCACATGGTTTTGTTGAAGCGTACACTGTTCTGTTAAAAAATGATAACTTAACCAAGCCTAATGAAAAAAATGAACAAATATTTCTCCAACAAACTTAAAACTTAAAACTACTTCAAAATGAAAAAAATTACCAACCAACGTTATAATGGCACATTCAGCAGTCAACTGGGCGGAATGAAAAAGTGTTCTTATGAACCGGTATATTTGCCTATGATCAGGGTCCCTAGACAAATATTCGATTGAAATGGATTCCCTCTAAAAATTGACAGAAATCTAAAGAAACACGGAGGTGAGGCGACCAAGCTCACAATGATAAAGTTTTCTGACCATTCGCAAACTGAAAGTACTTACAGTTATAGGGTGCAAGCGTTCCTCAAATATTTCCATTAGACGCTCATGTGAACGATTTTTTCTATTCGCGATGTGATAAAAAATTGCCATTGATATACATTTAATTGTGTTTTTTAAATTTGGTTGCGATATAGTGGAGTCATCAATAAATATTGTGGAGCAACTGTTTGACTTCTTCAACGGAGAAACGGTAGCCTCTAAGTGATTACAATCCAAAACATAGAACGAACGCCGATTATCTTTCACTGGAAAGAGACAATAAGGCTAATTGAAGTTTTAAATTTATCATAAAAATCAATAAATTCACTCCCAAAACTATCACAGTTAACAAGTTTCCTTCAGTGACTACCTAGTAACAGTGTCATTTTAAGGCAAGCATATCACCTTTAAAAATCAAGCTTACAATCCACTGAATGTACCATTATTTATCCTAATTTCATGGTCCTAAAAAAAATATAGAAGAATTTTGATATTTGAAAAATAGTGCTAAAAAAGTACCGGGAGAAGATACTCAGAAAAAAAAGTGAAAATCAACCAACTAACATTTCATCTCACTCTTGCTCCTTTCCATGAATGTTGGACGAACTGTTGGATGAGTGGAAGGATCATCACCAGTTTCTAAAGGAAATATATGTAAACACTGCAAGTGGAAATCATGAAGGATATAAAATACACAATGCTGCCTAATTCATGACGATACTGTAAACATTCAAAAATTGTAGACACAAAAATATTTCAAACAAACTATTACGATTTAAAGCAGGATAACTGACAGAAGAAAACTAGGCAAAAGAAGCAACAAAGAGTCAGTAACTGTTTATAAAATAACAACAGAAGTTACAGTACCGGTTATACAAGTTACGCTGATCAACAGCTGGAGTAAAAGTGAAAAAAAAGCAAGGAAGTTCTTTCTGTATGCTTCTTTTAAAAAAATGTTACTATTGCACAGCTTCCAAGGAACTCACTTGAAAAAGAGAGCCGAAAAGAACAAGAATTAAGATAAGTGAACACTAAATGATTATTTTCAAACTAGCCAAAAGGTTATTTAATACTAACCATCCGGTAACTCACGCTCACTTATATGAGGAAGAAAATTTGTCGACGTGTCCTCACGGGCCAATGTTTGGTTCGTATACTGAAATATTTACAAACTCATGCCAGAATGTTTTGCAGAACTAAGTAAAGTGATATAAATAAACAAAACTTCATCAAAACAATGCTGAACTTATTCGCTCAAGCGGGAACACCAATGCAACACCCTCAAAAATGTTATCAGCTTACAACTACAAAGGTTCATTTTCAAAAGGCAAGCCACTTACTT